ATTCATTGCATAGGTCCATCTGCACTATTTTATCATAAAATTGTTAAAGGTGCCATATGCATGATAAACTCTTTATGCCACATGCTTTACAATACAGCTGGGCTAACTTGGCATGGGGAACACAATGGGTGCATAATTAGATTGCAAAAAGAGAATGGCCCAGCATAATTGAATACTGCATTGCACACATGCTGTATCAGTGATAAAGAAGAGTGTCCAAGATAAGGAAAATAAAAATATATAAAAAATCGAGTTTAAATCAAATATACTGTTTGTGTTCATGTTGATTTTTTATTTTTATTTTTACCAACATAATATGGGTCACTCTTTATTTAAGGTCCATTTCTCACTATTAACCATGAACTACAACGAATTTGCTGCTTATTAACAGTTAGTAAGGTAGTTGTTAAGTTTAGGTATTGAGTAGGATTGGGGATGTAGAATATGGTCATGTATAATATGCTATTAATATGCATGATAATAAGCAACTAATTAATAGTGAGAATCGGTCCCTATACTAAAGTGTTACCATAATATGCAATCTTTTTATACCAAATGTAGATGTAATAACTCCAAAAATGTAATGTGTTGTAACCACTGAGTAAAAAGTAACCACATAATGTAATTATTTCTTCACATCTTTATTTTATCTTTATTTTTATGTTTTTCTTACAAAATTTCAAGAATTATTAATTTATACAAATTACCGTCCACTTGGGGAGTCACACTATCAAATTAATTAATCCTGTCAATTTATCTGACATTTTAACCCGTTAAGAGACATGTTGACCTTCACATACAGTCGTAAGTTTCCTCTATGATATCTTTTGATATTGAACTGATTGATTTAAAAAGGTGCAGCATAGAAGACTAATTCTTTAATTCTAGTACATTTAATGAGCTGTCTTCTACCTTCATCTAAACACACTCCCCCATACACATTTTCAGTGAATACAAGTACCAATCAACTAAATAAGATGTGTTGAAGCGTAGTGCTAAAGCACTGATCCAGTATTGATCATTGGCCTGTTTTTAAAATAACACCAGCACAGCAGCCTGCAGATCACAGCCCCCAGGCTTTGACAGGATTGACATTGCATTTTGCATGCGATTAGGGGTGATGTGAGGGGTTGAAATGTCAGGGCTATTGGCTGTATGTGTGCATGGCCGGGTGCCATGTGCGCTGTTGCATGGGTGCTAATCTGAGAGATCTCTGATACGACTGAATTGATGGAGGGAATTAGTGTCAGGAGGGGTCTTGGATATAAGACTTTAATTACAGGATGTGACCTCAGAGTTTGTGTGTGTGTGTCAGTAAGAAGACTGGAGCCTTTGTGGAAAATGTATTGAGATTTTATCTTTGGATGTTCAGTCACATTTAGGGCTGAATATTGAATATTCATGATATATTTGGAATGATTTTGCCGGAAATGCAAAATTAGGAATCATCATGAATATCCCAATGACTTGAATGCAAGCTTTTTATTTGGCCATTAACATTCTTCAAGCTGTGTCATTAGACTAGTTTCACAATCCTTTCTCGCGTCGTGACTATGATTAAGACAGAGATACTTTAACGCAACATCTGATTTGAACTTTATTAGTAAAAAGGGCATTAAGGTTGGCAAGTTCATATAAAATTAATAAATCTTTATTTATTTATTTTTAATTAATGCATATGTAAAAAGTATTTTATTTTGTCTCCCATGTATCAGCAGTGATATTGGGATTCAAAAACTGATTTGCCAGTGCAATGTGTGTTAGTGCAGGTATAGGAATTTAACTGCATGCATGTAATGGTTAGCTATTTAAGCTAAATGCTTTATGTCTCGTCTTTGCAACTCTAGGGAGACAGCATTCACTCTTAGAAAGCATTTATATGCTACTGAAGATTTTCAAAGTTCACTGCCACTGGTAGTGCTATTTATATTCAACATGTAGACCAATCTCCATATCCTTTAGGCCACATTGATTCATATTGGAGAATGCCTTGGCAAGTTGAGAGATTTTTCTGAAGGGATAGTAAAAAAAACAAAAAAAAACAGCCTTTGCGATTTCCGTCCATCTGTCAGTCAAAGGTGTGGCGGGATTTTCCTGGCTGGTACTGTTTTGTGATACTTCATACCTTCTTTGCGAGTATTCAGTTCAGGCTTTCCAATTTAAATGCAAATTTTATAGGACATCACAAGGAACCTGAGACGGGTGCAAAAAATCATTCGGCACCAACGATGAATTATATATTTTAATTAACCAGTGAGGGAAATGCGTCTATTCAGCAGCAATGGCCATAAATAAGAAATGAATAAATAAATAAGACAGAAGATAAAGACGAGCAAAATGGGTCTCATTGAGCAGCATTATTATAAAATCTGCAGTGCCATGGGATGTCATTAAGAAAAGGACCCTGAGCTGTCAGATATCAAATGTATTGTTCTCTAGTTTGATGGGCTAAAAGCTACTTATGGCTGCCAGAAAGAGGAGGATTTTTGAAGAACTGACAGAGAGATACAATTTTAATTTCACTCCTGTCAGTCCATTTTTTTTTTCTCGAGTGCTGGAATATATATGAAGTGTCAGTCAACAGACTAAAGTATTTCTCTGCTTTACTCAAGAATCTCAACGGAATAGAGGGAAGCTTTGGTTTTATAAGCGGCGATAATTGAAAAATGTAAAAGTGCACTTCAAAATACTGAAAGTCATTTTGGACATACTTTAAATTTGGATGAATAAATTGAATGTGAAAGATTTATCAACTGTACCCTCTATTATGCTGTGCAACAATATTTGAGTAATATCCAGACATATGCTTGATTTCTGAGGGGTTATTGTCATCTCTATGTAAATGATGACCTTATGCAATGTTTATGATGGATTTTTGATGAATGACACACAGAGACAAACAAATGCAAAGACGTTATTCAGCGAGAATGTACAATATTGACTTTAGTCTGCGACATTGATCAAACAAAGAAAATAGTTTGCTCTCTCGTCTTCACACTTGTGTGTATGTGAACCTTGTGTTTAGTGAGTGACGAATGCTGGGAAAATACAGCGTGTTGATAAAAGACAACCTAAGTATGCAGACCCATGAATCAGAACATAATAAGTAGCTGACAAAAGCTAAATATCCACAATATTAAACACCCACATCAATAAAATTATTGTGCAAATATTATATGCACATCACTTCCACTTAAGTCTGCGACGCCAGCCAAGACAAGGACGTTCGTGCCAGCAAAAACAATCAAGAACTTTTGCTGCAAGTGCAAGCTAGGTTCTCCACAATTAGTGAGACGGTGTTGTGATTGCAATGTTAAATATATAAATAAAGTGTGTGTACATTTCCTTTCGCAAGTTAACCATCCTGATAATGGGGCGTGTTATAATTTCCTGTTTAACTTTAATGAATAACTACTGTTGGGATCATGGGAGACAATTAAACAAGTGAGTATACAAAAAACTAATGCTTGTATTCCATTCTAAGCTTTAAGTGTGCATTCATCCAGAAGAAAGTTTGTTATTCTCCAGTTATGAATATTCCCTGTTTCGCTCTGATGAATGCCTCTCTTTGTGTTTGTTTTAACTGTGGGCTCTTTTTAATGTTTTACATTCTGGTGTGCTTAGGAAGACAAATTGATTTCCTGACCCTACAATGTGTTGTCTTTGGTCTGGATTTCAAATGTTTCACTCTGAAGTCTTCCCATAGGAAAGAAAATCACCAAAGGGATCCTTTTAATATCTCAATTATTCTCCTCAATGTAAATGAGATTAAATGGCAGTCTTCTGCTACTCAGATATTCCCAGATTCAGATTCCCCAGTAATCTCACAAATGTCACCACTATGGTTTTAGAAGTGATCTTAGCAATGTTTCAAACTGTGGTAAGATTAGCTAAGATATGAAAGTCTTTAAACAGAGATCTTATTATGAACTCAATTTGCCAGTTTTTCCAAAACCAAACTTCAGCTACACATTCTGCCCCTAACAGCAGGCAAGGGATTTTTTGAAACTCAATTGAAAATGGTAATTATTTTTGCAATTCCGTTTGGTGCCACTTGTGGTGTAGAAATTACACACAGCACATTTAAACGAAACTGGAACTCCAATGTTTTGCTTACTCCAACCACATGCCCTCTCTCCAAAGCTTTGCCCTCCAAAGGCAAAGTCAGCTCGATGTCTCTCAAAAACCCATGAAAACTCAAAATTATTGACAGGCCTAGAATATTTCTGATTATAAGTGTAGGCTGTTTTGCTGTTCACAGGGCTGTCACAGAAACTGTTGAATTGATTGATCAAGACACATATTTCAATTATATATTCAAGGTAGTGGGAATATCTTGGCTGTCTGTTTGAGTGGCAAACAACATTGACTCAATCAGTGAGTTTGGAACGAAACTACCTGTCAGATCTTGAAATGTGTGTGTCACATAAGAAAGACATACAAACGCATAGGGCCTACAATTGGAGGTACTTCGGGAACCGGGTTACGAAACATTGTCCCAAGTCATGACATAGCAATCGTTGATCAAAGAAAATTTCACCAGAGTTTGCATGTGGAGAGAGTGAAAAAGAGAGATAGAAGGCCAGATGGAGAGAGACTGTGAACGACTTTATGATTGTCAATCCTGGATCCAAACATTCTGGCATTGTCTTTCCTTCTTCCTATTTCTCATCTAGGTCTGTCTATCCCGCAGCCAGTTGGGCAGAGAGAATATCAGTCCCTGAGGACATTGGTTCCACTGATGAGATGCTATAAAGTAGGGAAGAGAGAGAGAGACGGATAGAGAGAAGTGGGGCGGGGAATCAGGAGGCAGAGACACTGAAAGAAAGAAAACAAGCAAGTGAGAGAGAGAGAGAGAGAGAGAGAGAGGGAGAGAGGGAGGGAGGGAGGGAGGGAGGGAAGGAGGAAACTGTCCTCATGCTGTCTTGGCATCGGTGCCACCCAGTTTCTCTCGGGCAGGCCAGAAGCCTCACGATCTACCTCTGTGTGTGTCTCCTCAGATGGCCAACATTGTGACGTCCTTCTGCTGTGTGGTGCTTGCAGCCGTGGTGGTGGTTTATGCCCAAAGGCGCAGCCAGCAAGGTAAGTCTACATTTTGGATACAACCTCCATCTGTTGCGGGTCTCTGTATGTGTTTGTTCAGGAGCAAGTCAATTTCCTAATGAGATCAGTTAGACCTTTTGTAGATTAGGGATCAATTTGTTATTTTCTTGGTTATGTGTCCTGTCTTCTTTCTTTTTACTTGTCATTTTCTTTTGCGTCCCTCCTTCAATCTGTCTGTCGGAGTGGAACAGAGAAGTCACATTGTGAGCGGAGGGTCAGTATCACCTGACTGTGGGGAGGGGTGTGTGTGTCTGTGTGAATGCTGTTTAATGCATGGCCTGGCTGCCCGGAGACACAGAGACTAGCCTGTCACTGGGTCAAAAACTAGAGCTCCAGAACCAAGCAATCCTCGGAGTGCGTATGAATGTGTCTAAGTTTGGACCAGACATCTTATCTTGCTGGCTGTGATGGGTTCTCTCATGCTTGGGTGAATAAGCAGCTATGTTGTTTCTGCATTCCAATTCAGTGTCATTTTGTGAGACAGCGGGGTGGAAGTGCTATCGAGACATTCTTGTTTCGTTGGAAGCTACTGTCATTTTCTGAGTTATTATTCAAGCTGGGTACAACAGCATATTACGCCGTTTCCTAACCAGGTGCAACTCAAGTTTCCATCAACAAGTAATTTGTCTGTCCATGGTGAAGGCAAAGCGCTACACAATCACAGCCAATCAGAACATATTTTATGGTGCTAGTGTTTGATGGAAAGGAATGCATACAATACATTTTAAGGGTTTGGAAAGAGTGAGACAGTTACAAATGAAGAAGGAACTGCTAATTGGATGAACTGACTGCAACAGCATTGCAGTAAAAGTGTTTGGTCGCATGACAAAAGATCATACTTTAGTAGATTTTAGTGTTTAGTCCTGCTCCTGGATGGCCACCTTCCAGCAGAGTTTATCTCTAGCCCCAGTTAAATTCACCTGAACTAGCTAATCAAGATTTTATGGATAACTTCCTGGCAAGTGTGTTGGAGCTAAACCCTTTATGGATATTTACCCTTTAGGAGCAGGATTTGGCACCCCTGCTCTATGTCCTTATGATGCCCTATCTCATTTGAATCAATGGATTCAAAGCATTATCTGATGCAATGTGAAAAACTTGACTCTAGCTTTGGGTAAAATGAAAAAAAAAAAAGTTGGAAGAGTTGCAATAAATGCGAAACAACCTGAACCTTCAACTAGAACTTGGGATGGGATGAGAATGGGATGAGGTGTAGTGGTTAAAGACCTGGTCTTGTAATGGAAAGCTTGTACCACCATTGGTACAAGCTTTGTGAAAAGCTTTTTTTCACATTGGGAAAGTCGTGGCCTAATGGTTAGAGAGTCGGACTCGTAACCCAAAGGTTGCGGGTTTGAGTCTTGTTCACTCCTAGGTGGGGGGAGTGAATGTACAGTGCTCTCTCCCACCTTCAATACCATGACTTCGGTGCCCTTGAGCAAGGCACGAACCCCCAACTGCTCCCCGGGCGCTGCAGCAAAAATGGCTGCCCACGGTGTGGGTTCACGGCGGGTGTGTTCACTGCTGTGTGTGTGCACTTCAGATGGGTTAAATGCAGAGCACTAATTCCAAGTATGGGCCACATGTCATATCATTTCACTTCATTGCGACTGATCTAGACTAACCCAGTCCTGCTCTTGGACAGCCAACATCCTGTAGAGTTTAGCTCCAACCCTAATTAAACCCACCTGAACCAGGTAATCAAGGTCCTCCAGGCAGGTGTGTTGGAGCAGGTTGAAGCTAAACTCTGCAGGATGTTGGCCCTCTGAGCGCAGGACTGGGCAGGCAGAACCTCAGTGTTTTTCCAGGAGGACTAACTTGTACTATATATTGTACTTTAAGTCACTTTCAAAAGAACTGTCAGCTAAATGACTACTTACTAAAGAAGGATTGCCGACCTTGCGCCAGCCAAAACTGCAGATGTAGCTTCAGATGGGAGCACTGTTTGAGAGTGATAAAGCATCTTCTTGGATGTCTCATGCTGTTGTCATCCCCCCACACCCCTGCGGCAGCCCACGTTTTGTTGAAGCGAGGCTCTCACTAAAGCTGATTACATCTCTATAATGCCCAGTCATCGGCATGTGTTTCTCTGGCAGGGCAGTTTGATACGGTGATGTCATGGTGGGGTGACATCACCACGTCATCCATCAGCAGTGCTGCTTATCTGCTTCTACATGTGTTCTGATTGGTCAGCTGATCGTGTTTAATCTAGACAGCAGTCATCACAAACACAAACCATGCAATGCCAGTTAAGCCTTTTGCATACGCACATACACACTTAAAAGTGGGCTCAGTGAACACTAGTATATAGACAGATGGGAATACAGACGGAAAAACAAAAAATACGCAAAAACAGAAAAGAGAACTGTTATATTACAGTACACAGATATGTAGACTGTGCACATGCACACAGACTCACACAAGATTTGTGCTTAATGCATCATTAGGATAGGTAGTTGTTGATAAATATGTTTTAAAATTAACCAAGACACACGCAGTCAGTGACTTAATAACAAAATGTTTCTTGTTGACTAATTATAACAAAATTCTATTTGACATCTTGGAAAGTCTTTATTTGTATCCTGTCATTAATTTACTTATTATAGATTTAATAGCATGCCACTTTTTCTTATAAGTATTTTTTATTTATTTATTTTTCCTTTTGGGCAAAGCTTGATACTGCACCATATGTTTGTTTCAGTGACAAATTGTCAAAGCATCCTAATTCAGCTTCAGGTGGCTCTCTTCTCATGATCATGCAAATGTGAGTAATTGCATTAGAGCTTTGTAAACCTTCTAAGTTGGGTTAGTGTTTAACAGGGGCTGTTGCTGGCCCTGACATTTAAGTAAAATTGAAGACCAAATGACATTCCAAACAAAGAGTTCAGGTTCATATAATCTTGCCAATCACAAAGATAAGGGTGTAAACCCTGGTTTTGCCAAGAACGAAGTGTTCCTGCATCAAAATCTTTTGTTAGTCCCGGAAAAACATTCCAGTCAAACAAACATAGTTTTAACCCTATCTATAACCCATGCCTAGACAATAGCTACCTAACCTAAAAGCAGAATGAAATGATAGGTTAAGAATGTCATTCAAGTTCCATCACCTCCTGCATTCCATCTAAAAACGGATGCGGGATATTCCTAAAATGTCTGACTTCCGACATTACACTGTTTGCTCATGAATGGCATGCTATTGTTAGCTTTGCAGGTGTTTCAACAAAGAAGCCTCCTGCCACCCTAATTGCACAAGATAAACAATGCTATATAATCTTAGCATATGTTCTGCAGGTGTATGAGTATAAACATAGCAGATCATTTACAGTGTTTAACCCACCTGTCTCCGCAAACATTTGCTAAGTAGGTTTAATAAGCACACCGTGCAGGAGCTTATTGATTGGTACCGTACGCCCACATATCACATAAAGTTTTCAAGTTTCATTTTAAGTGGTTTTCTATTTTATTCTTTGCAGAAAATTCCTACCGAGTTGAATGGAACTCAGCATAAGCCTAAACCATATCTGATTGGTTGATCCAAGACTATTAACAGTAAACAGTGTGCTTCATTTTCCATCTGCTTTTACATCTTGTACACAGTTGAGTGTTTATGAGTACACTTCACTGACCATAAGCTTATGTGTATGATCCATGTGCACTGAAACTGTGGACCCTATGATGAAGAAATGTATGTGATACATAGTAGCCTATGTGCAAGATGTGGCATGCACACAGACAACTGAATTGCAGTACACTTTCACCTTTTTGCATTCTTCTTGTACATCATGCAGCCCAGACCAAATTGTAATACATTTTGTATATAGTTTAATTCTGTAACAGAAAGAGTTAAAATGTTCATTATACATGGCTTTGCACATGCTGTACACACTAACTACGGACACTGGAAAGTTCAATGCTGTGCAATTTTAAAGGGGTCATATGATGTTGCTAAAAAGAACATTATTTGGTGTATTTGGTGTAATGAAATGTGTTTATGCGGTTTAAGGTTCAAAAAACACATTATTTTCCACATACTGTACATTATTGTTCCCTTTCATGGGAACTTCGACCTGCGTCCTTTAGGGGTCGCTATGGGGAAAGCCTCGTCATGACCCGTGTCTGAAGCATACATTGAAAAAACACCAACTTGTTGGCCGGCGACAGCCATGACGTCACTACCGGTGCGACTAGAGTAAAAATAGTACACATCATTCTCTTCTTCGTCTTCATTGACTGTTTTGTTTGAAGAGTGCATTTCTGTGGTAAGTGCGATCTATTCATCTCATTATGGCGAGCAATAGCAAAGCGTTTAAGGATGTGTGCATCAGTGTTGACGTTGTTTGACATCTGATGACACACACAATCTATGCGTTATTTGTTTGGGCCGAAGAGCACGCACGCGATGCCTCTGAGGGGGCAATCGGCGTGCACTGCGAGCGTTTTTTCCAAGGGAAAAAGCTCCGCTCTCGTTTATCTCTTTTTTCGAGGAAAGAGGGGCAGCCATCTGCTTTCCGCGATTCAGGACCCGCCGCAGCTGAGACACAGAAGGGAATGAGCTCGTGGGGATCGCAGGTGGATCTGGCCGATGAGTTTGAAGGGGGGTTTCCCTTTCGTGATCGTCGGCTGTGCACGAGAGTGAGCCGCTGGAGGATGATGTTATTTCATTAACATTGTCTGATTCAGGGGCCATTGCTCTGCTGGGATCAGCCCAGCAAAAGCAGGAAATGTCTGAGGAGGGCAAAGAAGCTGCGGCTGAGCCTTCCCAATCCTCCTGTCCTGCGTATGATGAGCTTTTGGAAATTATGGATCGCGCAACGGCGCGGCTTTACTTGCCGTGAAGCGGGTGAAGAAAGTGACGTCGTGAGTATCTCGATGAATGTTATTTTTCTGGCCATAACCCTCCAGCTCAGGTGAGCCTTCCTTTCTTCCTGTTTTCCATATAAAGATTGAGAAGGAATGGAAAAGGCCGTTTTTTCCTCACACAT